TTTATTACACTTAGCTTAATCTCCTCCAGTTCCATCCATGTTGTTGCAAATGGCAGTTTCTTTAATACATACATATGTGTGTGTGTGTGTGTGTGTGTGTATACATATATATATATCTGAGTAGTAGTCCATTGTGTATGTATATTACATCTTCCTAATCCACTTATCTGTCTTTGGGCTCCTAGTTGTTTCCATAACTTGGCTATTGTAAATAGTGCTTCAGTGAACATAGGAATACATATATTCAAGAGTTAGTGTTTTTGCATTCTTTGGGTAGTTACCTAGTTATGGGATTCCTGGACCATATGGTAGATAAAGTTATTTTGAGAAATCTCCATGCTGTTTTTCCATAGGGTCTAGACCATCGTATTCCCACCAACAGTGGGAATACTTACAACTCTTGCTATTTTTGGTCTTTTTTATATAGTCCATTCACACAAGTGCGAGATAGTGTCTAATCTTGGTTTTGATTTGTATTTTCTTGGCAGTAAAGTGAGGTTTGAGGTGATGGCTTGTTTTGATTTGCACTTCTTTAATACTAAGAGATGATAAGCAATTTTTTCATATGAGTTATTGGCCATCCATATATCTTCTTTGGAGAAATTCCTATTTAGCTCTTCTGCACGTTTTCATTGGGTTACTCATTTTTTTGAGTTGTATGAATTCTCTGTAGATTTTTGATGTCAACACCTTTGAAGTCAAATATATGATATGCAAGTATTTTCTCCCATTTAGTTGGGTGTCTTTTTGTTTTAGGGATAGTATCTCATTGTAAAGCTTTTTAGTTTGATACAGTCCTGTTTGTTTATTTTTGCTTTTTGTTTCCTTTCTCATTTTATTCTCGTTCCCAGTGTGTTAGTGAGTTTTGTCTTTATATTTTATTCTATGTATTTTATGGTTTCAGGTTTTACATCCAAGTCCATTTTGAGTTAACTATGTGTATGGTGTGAGATGATAGTCTAGTTTCATTCTTTTATCTATAGTTTACCCAACACTGTTTGTTGAAGAGATTTTTCTCTGTTGTGCACTCTTGACTCCATTGTCATTAACTATCCATATATGTGGATATATTTGTGTGCGCTCAGTTTTAGTACATAGGTCTGTGTCTACTTTTATTACAATACCAGGTTTTGATTACTGTAACTTTGAAGTCTGGGAGTGTGATACCTTAGTTTTTCTCCCTTTGTTGTTAACATTATTTTGCTGTGTGTTGGGGGGTGGGGGAGTTCCATATGATTTCAGTAATTCTGTTCTATTTCTTTGAAGATTGTCATAGAAACTTTGATGAGGATTACAAGGAATCTGTATATTGCTTTGGGTAAAATCACTGTCTTATCAATTTTAATTCATCTAATTTGTGGCAGGTATAGCTTTCATCTCTACCTTTTAATAGTGTCTTATAATTTAATAGTGTCTTATAAAATTTTAGGTATATAGGCCTTCCATTTCCTTTGTTAAGTTTATTCCTAGGTATTTAATTATTCTTGATCCAATTATAAATGGATTTGTTTACTTTCTCTTCTAGTTCATTGTATATAGGAATGCAAAAGATGTTTCTGTATGTGTAGATTTTCTTTATTATAGCAGTTTTAAACTCTGATAGATAAAATATTCCATGACTCTGTGATCAGATCCAGGAGAGTTGTTCTCTTCATGTGAAATAATATTCCCTTGAAGCCTGTCTCAAGGTGTTAACATTTTTCTCTGCCATTTTGCTGCTTAAAATTTGTGTATTTTAAAAAGTACCTATAGCAGTAATTTAGACAGTTGATGTACTTTTTCTTGTCCTGCAGGTAGCACTGGTTCAATTTGATTGATTTTTTTGGCTTTTGCTGGTTTCCATAGATATTGAGACCTGTTTGTGCAGTTGTAAAGTCATTAGGGTGGGGAGGATTGTAGAGGGGCTCAGGCACTGGTGAGAATGTGCTGGTGGTGTGGGAGATGGTCTAGCACCACCAATAACACTCCTTTTGGGGGTTCTTGATCTAAGACTGCACTCTGTGTGCTCTCAGTGTACTTTGCAAACTGAATATCAGCCCAAGGGAGTTGGGGAGGTTGTATGTAATCAAGAGTACTATTTCTGTTCTTACTGCAGAGTCAGCCTGTGTGGAATACCTCATCTTCTCCACACGTTTCCAAGGGTTGTTCAAGGGTGTGTGCCTCCACACCATTTTGTTCTCCCTGCCACAGGACTTCTGGCTGAGTAGCCAGTGGCAGCCCTACCCCTTGGCAATTTCACCATCTATGTCCGGGATTTTGATCACAGCTTTCAGGAATTTCTCTCCAACTACTTCCTGTTCAACAAAGTGTATTGGTATCTTATGTCTAGGGGCTATTCCAATTTTGTCCCAAGACACAAAATTCTCTGAATATAGAGTTCTTCTAATTAACTGTTAGATGTTCTTAGGAGCACCTCTGTCACCGTCTTGCTGACATCTCTTAGGTGTTTTTTTGTTGTTGTGGTTTGTTTTAATAGAGCCTGACAGTCTTTAGATTTTAATGAGTATTTAATATAATTACATTTAACATAATCACCATATAGTTGGATTTAAATACATTTTATTATTTTTTCCCTGCCTAATATGTCCTTTTTGTTTTCTTACCATTTTGTATTGTGTTCTGTTTTGCCTTTCCCTTTGACTTTTTTTGTATTACTCCATTTTACTTCTCTTAATCTTTCATTGTAACTCCTTTTTTAGTAGTTATCCCTAAAGATTACAACATAAATTTATGACCTATCAGTGTATTTACTGGTACTTCGCCCCATATATAATCTTTCATAAACTTTAGCTGTTATGTGACCTTGTTGCTATTGATGTTATATTTTTTGTTTGTATATTTTATATCTAAACATGCATTATACAGTTAATGTTCATTTACACTTAATAATACTTATTTTTTTTGGGAGGGGAGCACCCTGGTGGTGCAACAGGTTAAAGCACTGCACTACCAGGCTAGCCACAGCATGGGTTCAATCTCTGGCCAGGGAGGTATCCTGCGTGGCTTGGCAGACCTCTCCTGACTTTCCCGCTGCTCCCCTCAGCAATATTTCAGTAAATACACCTGTTCTGCTCCCCACTCTGTCTCTGGTGAATCTTTTCACTCCTGTACCTCAGGCCTTTACCTCAGTTCTTTTTGCATAAATACATAAATCTTTAAAAAAAAAAAAAAAGAACCCTAGATTGATCTTTACCCTTTCTTTTTCATCACTTGAAAACACTATGTATTCTTTTTTGCAAGTAATTTTTTTTTCTCACTGCTTTTAAGATTTCATCTTGTCTTTTTAGCAGTTATATATGCTACATGTTTCTTAGTGAGTCTTTAGTTGGGTTGATATCTTTAATTGGTTTTTAAATAGCCTCTGTCTTTGTCTCATCAGTATTCTATAGGGTCACCCTGCTCTCCTAGTAGTCATATTAAATATATTGTGTTTTTATTGTGTCTTCTCTTTTTCTTAGTTTTCAAAAATCTTTCCAGAAAAAGAATTTTCTCTCTACTTTTATTACTGGGTATTTTATTCTGGTCTAACTTGCAGGCCACTTATAATACTGTTTCTCCTATCTCCTTCACCATGGTTATTTTAAGTCTGTTTGATAGCCTTACTATCTGGAGTCACTGAGGTATTCTGTTTTCTGCTGTTTTTACTGGTTTTCATTTACATTGTCTTGTCTCTTTTTGTGCTTGATTACCTTTGTCTGTCAGATACAGTACTTAAAAATTATTTGTGAAGAGATGTTACTTTTCTGTGAATAGTGCTTTGGTTTTTCTGCCAGACCCTAAGACTCTAGAGCACTAGATTAAGGTAATCTAAGATTATTGTTACTTTTAATACAGATGTAGAGATTATGATTTTCTGTGCTATTCAAAGGACTCAAAGCAAACCTGCAGTATTTACATGGACTGTCATAATCTTAGTTTTACCCTTATGTCCAAAATGATTTTATCAGGCACCACTCTTGCATGGATCTGGATCCCAATTTACATTATCTAGCTCAGGCAAACTGTTTCTGTAAGAGTCCAAAAAGTAAATAAGTATACTTTGTGGACCCATACAATTCTCTGTGGCAACAGTAACTTTGACATTGTTCTGAGAGAGAGCCATCGATAGTGCATGAGTTAATGAACATGATTGTATCCCAGTAAGACTTTATTTATAAATATCCAGCACAGGGCCAGATTAAAATCCGGCCCATCGAGCAAGTCAGGTTGACTGCTGAAAATTAGATTAGCTCAAAATTCAAGGCTAGCCACTTCTTGTTGTTTCTTTAGTGCCATGAAGAATATGTTGTTGTTTTTACTGTTTGGTCAGTTCTCAGGAGGACATTCAATCTGAAATAGCTAGTCTGCTAATATCATATACATGGGGTAACCAATTTAAAAACAATTTGATTTTTTGCCCCTTGATATCAAGAAAGAAGTTTCTTGAGTTGTTTTCAGAAAGTATCTCTCACTAACACCATGTGATACATGACATTTTTTTTTTAAGAACTAAACTTTCTAGCAGTCTTCCTAAGAGATTTTGGTATCAAAGTTTAAGTTTTAGAACAATAATGTTGGAAATGTTCTGCACCTACATAGTTCAATATGGTATCCAATAGACATCTGTGGCTATTAAGCTTTTGAAAAATAGCATTATGGATACAGAACAAAATTTTACTTTTATTTAACTTTAATTAACTTAAATAGCCATGGCTATTTGTTTGGAGTGGGTGCATTTTAAATTAAAAGAAGAATCTGATCTCAGCACAGATTGTGTTCTTCTAGTCAAATCCACTAAAATGTCTACTTTTCAGAACTCTTACAAGAAATACTATGCCCAAATATATGCAGTGGATAGGGTCTCACTTAAGTATCCTAAACATTCTCAGTAGTAGAATGTTTCTGTTTCAATCATCCAACCAATAATGCAGTGGAATTATACTTGGTATCCTCATTGGTCGACATAAAATCAATTTCAGGCATTCAATTTACTTTCTACCTTTTTTTTTTTTTTTTTGCAGGGTAAGGGGCGCCTCCGCCAAGGAAACTGTCCAAGTCCATCATCTCATGCTGTAGTTCGGTTGCCTTCTGTGTCTGATGTACCAGAAGAGAGCTTGCCAAGTGGGGCAGCCTTGGAGACTGACATCACAGAACAGCAACAAGCGTCCATGCAGCAGGAGGAACGAGTACTGACTGAGCAGATTGAGAACCTACAGAAAGAAAAGTGAGTTTCCAGAAGGAAAAGGGAGACCAATTCTGTTTTCCTTTATTTCGGTGCTCTGTTTTTCCCTATTAAATATCACCTATGTGCGAAGCACTATGTCAGGTGACACAGTGCTGGAATTTAGAGATAACAGAGACATGTTGTCTCTACTTAACCTGAAGTTTGTTGCCTTAGGGAAGGAATTCTGTGAGCCAGGAGACCTAAAGCTGCTATCCTATCAATTCTGGAAAGACTGACAGGGACTGAGTTTAGCCTTAGTCAGAAATCCTAGAGATTTCATGCTAGAGATCAGCCTCAATGAAGATATTTGTCTTAAAAAAGAGGAGTAGGAATGCCTAGACTAAGACAACGGCCCTTTCAGTAATGGACATTACTCAGAACTGCATGACGGAAGGTTATTAACTGAAGATCAATATAGTCATGGGGCCAGCATCTTATAACTACTGCATTTTCCTCACCTCACCTTTATCCCTGTTACAGTTCCTTGCATTTGCTGTCATTTTGCCCTTTAGTCCATAAAGTTTTAGCCCTCACCATTACTATAACTTACAGGTCCTTATCATCACCCTGGATGGGAATAGTAAGAAACATGACTGTCTTTGCTACTTAAATTCCTGGCTTTTATGAAAGGTTTTTATTTCCTGTCATTTTTTTTTTTTAAGATTTATTTATTTGTGCATACAGAACTGGGGTACAGGCCAGAGATGCGGAGAGAGAGAGGATTCACCAGGGACAGACAGATCTGCAGAACAGGCAGATCGACGAAGTACACTGCTGAGGGGAGCAGCGGGCGGGTCAGGAGAGGTCTGCTGCGCCATGTGGTCACCTCCGGGGCAGGCAGGAACTGAACTCATGCGGAAGTGGCTTTAGCTTCTTAGTGCTGTGCTTTAACCTGCTGTGCCACCAGGGAGGGCCATATTTTTGTCATTTTGTTTGCAGTTCTTACCAAATCCTAATGGATTTCTTGATTTTATCTTATAGAGAGGAGTTAACATTTGAGATGCTTGTACTAGAACCTCGTGCCTCTGATGATGAAACTCTTGAGTCAGAGGCCTCCATTGGAACTGCAGACAGCTCAGAAAATTTGAATATTGAGTCTGAAAGTACCATCTCTGAGAAATCAGGTAAGTGAACCTATTAAACTAAAAACTCATGATCCATGCTAAGATAAAGACCCTTTATAGAATACTTTAACTATACATGAAAAGGTGACAAAATCTTAAGGATTTTTGTGAACTTCCACATGAAGTGTTCATCAGACCACACTTCTACTCTAATGCAGTTTGGGTCTTTTAATGTTTTCTCTTGCATTTATCACAGATGTCTTACTGACCCATGACTATTGTCTTAAGAGTGGGTAAAGAAGTTGTACCCTGCTGTGAGGCGGGAATATACTGAGAAATATTCACCTACCTGGCATGTCTCAGGAGACAGAAATCATTCTAGCAGTTTGTTAATGACAGTGACAGTTGTAGTTCTCTCCTTATGGTTAAAATACCATACTTTCTTGGGCTTGATTCTGAAATGAGGCATGTGGAAATGGTGAGCTCTTCTTGTGTTAGGAATGTGCACAAAGTAGGCCAGCCTGGACCCTCAAATCTCAGCCCACCCAATTTCATGTCTCAACAGCAATGTCTGTTTATTACACCATGATTTCTCTAGAGGGAACTGTCATTTACAGCTTGGTGTATCTCTTGTTGTATTAGAAAGAAGCTTAGCCCTTTGCTCCCTGAAGGCAGTTGGCAAGTCTGAACCTTCAAGCAAGTTACGAAAGCAGCTTAAAAAGCAGCAAAACTCTTTGGATTCTGTGGACTCTTCAGGTTCTTCATTGTGTTCATCTAACATGGGTTCTTCTCATGGGACCAGAAAACGATTTCCGATTTATTCCAAATCTCCATTCTACCGAGCTGCCTCAGCTGGTGAAGCTCCAGGAATGGAAGGGCAAGTGGGCCTGACCAAATCCCTGGAAGACAGGCCTCAGTTCATTAGCAGAGGAACCTTCAACCCTGAAAAGGGCAAACAAAAATTAAAGAATGTGAAAAATTCACCTCAGAAAACCAAAGAGATCACAGAGGGAACAGTTGTGTCTGGTCATAGGAAAACTGTGGACCCAGACTGCAGCTCCACCCAACAGCTAGCTCTCTTTGGAAATAATGAGTTTATGGTCTGAACTGGCAGATGTGCATCCCTTAATGGTTACAGAGTGGTAAACACATCTCATCTTTGAGGCCTCTTCTCATCACCTCGACCACAGTAGTCCATACTAATTGTGGGCCTGCCTCTTGCCCATGCATACAACTAAGACCTTGTGTGCTGAATTCCTGGGCCTCCTGCAGAAATAGAAAGTCCTCTTTGAAACCTGCTAAGGGTGGTGCCAGCTGTGCCTTGGCTGCTGTTACTTGACTAGAGATTTCACTAAACAAAGCCACCTAGGGCCTGGGGGTTTGGGTCAGTTATGGAGGTCTTTGTAGTTGCCTCTCTTCCACCCTCTTCATCTTTTCCCTTCCCAGAAGTGGATGTTGAACTGGGAGGGGGAGGGTAGTTGTGGGTCTAAAGTATCCACTGATTTCTGATATTTGAAAGTAACACATAAATCTTTCTTAACCACAAAAGCAAAAACCTTTGGGATTATTTTGGGATAGTTAGATGCTGGGGTAGAGTATAATTTTTTTCCAAGGATTTATAAACAAAAAGCCTAAGCCCTCTATTTTAAGAGTTTTGAAAAAGACTCCATGTTATATTCTGGAGAAAGTTAAAAAAAGCAATTTCTATTAAGCCATCAGGGCATGTCACAAACATCTGGTTACACAATGAAGAAGAGTCTACATGTTTTGCTTTTTGACGTTTGATGTCATAATAATCAGTGCCGGCTTAACTCCTGTTAGTTCCTGCCAAATAATATTGCATGGGCTGAAGTTTCAGTAGCCATACTGTTCTCATAGTCCCTGCTCCTAGGATCAGGTTCCTTGACTTTTTTTAAATTCCCAGAGACATGGTAATTCCTAAACAGGAGGGTTTCATCCTAGTGCATCCAGACTTTTCTCTTTGTATAGATTAAACTGGAGATCACATATGAACCTATTCATCTGCTGGTTGATTTTCACCACAAACTCAAATAATGTGACCATTAAATTACTTCTGAATCATTCACACAACAACACTGCATGAATAAGTGTTACAGAAAGCTGCCAAAAATGAGAGTTTTTCATATAACCCATCTAATCTTTATCTTTTCTTCCTCAGACCATCAGTATTAGATGAAAAAAATCAAGAACTACTTGAAGCTATTTTTGTTAATACTCTGGTTACTGAAGTTTACTGTAAATATATATGTATAGTTTGCATATTTCCTTTTAAATTTATGCTTCCGTTCTCCCTATAGAATCCCCCCCTACACACACACAAACACAGATTATGGGCCATTGGACACAGGAATGAGAGCCACTCATTTTCTGGGTTGAGGGAAAAGTCAAACCATCTTTTTCACCTTTAGGTGTCTCCATACACCTGAGTTATAATAGCATTTTAAGTTTTTAGCATATGTGAGATTAGATGTCTGTTTTTGCTATTTATAATATATAGAAAATGAAACAATGTTCCCTTTCTTTAGAGTAGTATGTGAAATGTTTATTTTTAAAGTTACTAATGCATTTTGTGTAACTACCACATGCACTGTTCTAAAAAAGAGCCTTTACCATTTGTAACTGAATTTTGGTTATTCCTCTTTCATCTTCTTTGAAGTTATAGAAACATTAATACTTTTGTTAAGGCAGAGTCTCACCTGTTACACAACACTGAACCTCGTACCACTTTAGAGTGGTGGTTATTATCCAGCCCCAAAGGTCAGACTTGGAACATCATTTGCGGCAGCTAAAGGTATCGGAAATCTTAACCTCTCCAGATGGGTGTAGGGATGGGATCTTTCAGAGTCTCCAGATGGTGATGGTTAGTGGGTAAATGTAGGATTTTATATCCCCCCAAAATTCTGCCTCTGTTCACACTATCTTGAGGAGTAACCAATATAAAGCCCTTAAAAATCTGAATTTCAGAGAATCTTTTAGGAAAACCCAATTCCTCAGATGGTTGTGTCGCAATGGACTTGCTGGTACCTCAGAACCGCATGCCAGGCTGCGCGGTCTACTCCCCTACTTGGGAGGGTGATGTTCTGATGGCACAGACTGCTATAGTCCACTTGCACTAGAATGTTGATTAAATAACATACCAAAAAAAGAGGTTATTCTTGTTGATCAGTTTTCTTTTGCCCAGAGGAATGACCAGGAGAGCACATCTTAGCTTATGTTCCCCTTTCTAAAACTGGATAGGATTTTGGTGTTTGCTTTCCCGTCCACCCCCAGAATAAGTTCTTGGCAGTTAAAAACTACTCATTTAAGTCACTTTATAGGAACTAGGTAATGGATGTTTTCTCAGGGACCTGAAACCTGAATTTGGATAAAATACTTGTTTTACAGTTGCCAGATGTATGGATTTCTAGTCATTTAACAAGCTTCCAGATGGAGGTTAATGGGAAGGAGAGATCCACATAACTATTAGCAAGCATAGAACCCTCCCTTTAAAGGAAAGTAAATAGTTCCATAGGAAAACAGGCCTTGTTGATCTGATAAAGAGATGAAGCCATAATTCTTAAAAAAAAAAAAAAAAACTGTCGAACCACATGCTGAACCACATTCTTTCTGATCTTATCAGATCTTCTCTGTGGTTATAAAACCACAAAGTGATGCTGCATTACAATCACTGATGATTAAGATGTTTAACCTTAGTATGTGTCAAGTTGGCATGCCTATTGCTTCTCTTATGCTTGTTTTCTTTGCTCTCAAGCGCCCCAAAGATAATCTCTACATGGCAGCTTTGAGGCACCCCCATATTTGCAGCCATTACTCCAAAATGCAGAATATTCTATTCATATCAAACATTCCCAGCTCTCCAACAAAGCCTGAATTTTGTATTTTGCCCTTTAAAGCCCTTTAATTGCATAAATAATATGGCAAAGGTAATGGAAAGCAGAGAAGTATTTATTTTAGGGTCACATTGTATATCACAAGGTGAGACAAATTAATAGTAAATATAGAAAGGATTCAGGGAGGTGACATGCTCAGTTTGTAATGCACTTTGTATTCCCTGCCATTTTAGTTATTTAACCATTGTTTGCTTCTGAAAACAAAGATACTGCCTTCTTAGTATGAGTCTTGCAGAGACAGGGACCTGAGGTTCAGGTGAAACATGAGAACCTCTCCTCCTCATGCTTTGGCAGTGAGTGAAGATTTCTGTTCCCTTTTCTGTCACAGTCGGGTTTTCTTCAAAGGCAGAAGGTCCCAGAAGGATGCGAAAAAAAGAAGTCCAGCAAGGTTCTGCAGGCCCACTTCAGTGTCTGTGGACTATGTTTTTGTTTTGACTATAACTTATGAATGTTTCACAAGCACTTTGGTGAATTAGAAGAATGATTCTCAGGATGTGTTCAAAGCTCAGAGAGTTTTAATTTTTAAAAGAAGCACAGTCCAGAAGGCTTCCTCTTCCTCCTCCTCTTTTTGTTCCCGCTTTGGTGGGTGGGTAGATGGACACGGGGCATGCATATTCAGTGTTGACAGATGTGTATGTCTACTAATAGTTTTGTGAAGACTCCCCAGCACTGTCCCTCAACACCATGACAGACTTGGTAATACAATCTCTTGGTATGTGTGGGAGTTCTTTGTCTTTCTACGCCCCTAAAATACTTTTAACCACTTTTCTCTGGAACCACTCCTATATTTGATTTGGTGTTAAAGGGTAACAGCAAAATGATGATTGTGGAGATGGATCTGTTAGGTCTTTTGGTCTTGTGGCTGAAACTTTAAAAAAAAAAAAAACCCATGAAGGCATCTATCACCTTGTTATCCACCCACACTTAGTATCTATTTACCAACCCTCTTAGGTCATATAAAAGTTGCACCTTTTGAATCAAGTAATTGTATTTGCTGGAGAAAAGGTGTGGACTACAGATTAGTATTATATTATTTTAATGGTTTAAAGTAATTTATAAGTATGCTGAGTGTAAATTTGTAAAAGACTATGTATTGTAAAAGGACATATCCTGTGAAATAGAATATCATTTTACTGTTAAACAGAATAATTCTATAAGAAGAATGACTTATTTCACCCACGGAACTGATTACATTCCTGATGCAGTCAACAGGCACTTTGTCATTTCCTTTTTGGGTTTTTTTTGTTGTTGTTATTGTTTTATTTTTGTTTATGGAGGGAGGAGCAAGACATCATCTGTATAAAGTGCAGTTTGTGTCACTCATAATATGCACTGTATGGCTACACAAAGCAGCTTGATGAACAAATCACTCCATGGCTCATTAAAGAACAAAGCTTCCAAAATCAGCAATATGTGTGGTTTGTTTTTGGATAACCCCAGCTCCTGCCCCAACTCATCTCAACCCAAACCCAAGGAAGAGCATTTCTGACACTGAAGGCACAGTAGCGCATGGTGGTCCTCCCATAGCCCCTAAATTCAATGAAAGAGAGTTGTGGCCATGTCAAATTTCATTGGAGCTCATTTACAGCAAAAAGTTGAAAAATTCCTGGGATCAACCTAGAGCTTTATTACATTGGGAAAACAGAAGCCACTTAGCATATTCCAAGTGGGAAGGAATTAATATAGATACTAGGGACTTAACATAAAGATTGAAGGAACTGGGTAAACATAAGTTATAAAAGCTCCCAAAAGTGGTCAAGAAAGCCAGTGTAGATCTCAGTCAAAAGTTCTAACATTCTCAAGAGCTTACCTGCAAGCTACTGCAGTTCTAAGGAGCCAGCCAGAATGCTGCTATGAAATCCATCTTTCTACACATTTGGCTGCAAATGCCTCTAGAGAAGAATGGCTTTACCTTCCAAATCTCATGTAAGTGCTTTCCTTCCATTAGCAAAAATCACTGGGGGAGTAAGGGGGGGCTGGGAAATGTAGTCCCTGGTATCTCTATAATGAAGATTAGACCTTGGGAGTTGGGTCCTGGTGGTACTACTTCCAGTTTGGCAACAGACAACCCAATTTTCACACCCCTAATTTTCTAAGACCACCTCCAGAAGGTCCCAATCTCCCCAGTGTAGAAATGGAAAACACACTGCCCAGACACTAGCCTGTGAACTTTGGACTGCTCTTGTTTATACTCTCCAAAGCAAGACAAGACCTATTGGTCATATTTCAACCATATTTCTTGCTAAAGTGCCTGTGCTCAGGCTTTAGGTAGGTAGATAGATATGCCTGTAAACCTTATGGGTGAAAGTTTGATAGGAAATTTGATAGAATAATGATTATAGACTATAGTATAATGACTAGTAAGTGAGCCAGTAGAACAGGGAAGTCATGGTTTTAGAAAAATCAAGAGTTTCAAATAGTTTTGAGTGTTTAAGCTATGTTTCCTCTCAGGACCTCTCTTCTTTCATGGCAGCAAATCTAGCTATAATCACCTCCAGTACAGAATGTCCTGGACAAGCCTTTCTCCATTAAAGCAGGGTATTTCTGTCAGGGGAATTCATACACAGGACCAAGAGAAGGGAACCCCTAAGATTTTGTACATGACCTTCCCTGTGACTTCAAGCATATCTTTTTTGAAGACACAAATTGTTCAGCTGATTCCAGAGGCAGGGGGAGGCAGTACCAAAGTTAAGCATAGCTAAGTAGAGTCACACCAAGGTTGGGGTCCTCGCTCAGTCTCAATTTTTTCTTTCATAAAGGAAAGTGATTGGTCCCTTAAAGTAATCTGAAGACTAAATAACAATGTACATGTGGTGTTCAGTTAATTGCCTGGTAGTGTTTATTAACTTTTATTGTGTATTGTTATTTCGTAGGTCTTCTGTATCTGTCTTGAAAAGAATGCTGTCTATCTGAGCTTCATATTTCCAGAAGGAATTAAGTGATGGACTTTCTCCATTGATGGTGCTTACTTTTGTTTAAGGAGAGGCGAGAGGTTAAGGAAGAGAAGGAAGAGAGAAGCTGTGGATGGTGGGATCCAACTAGAGACAAATTGGGAGGCTGAATCTTGTGTGAGATTTTTCTCTGGGTTTCAGTTCTTCACACCTGTACTCTGACTGAGAAGAAACCAGATGAAATTCAAAGAGACCCTGTGCTCATTCCTCCTGTGTCTGCAAAGGGAGACCCTTGGCCACATTCATTTCCTTTTATTGTTTTGTTTTTATTTTTTCATTTTTTTTATTGAGATCTAACATAATTCAGAAAAGTATACAAATTTTAGGTGCACAGCTCAGTTCTTATGAATAAACATTTGTGAAACAACCACAAGGAGGACCAGGAGCAATTTGCCAAACCTGAACAGGAGAAAGGACACCATTCTTCACTTCTGTACCGGGCACAAAACCCTCCAAGAAAAGGCAGGAAAGGAAGAGATCAGGAAAGGATGTTTCTAGGGCTCTCCCTGGTGGTGCAGTGGTTAGGATGCAGCACTGCAAGCTTGCCGCAGCAGCTTCAGTGTGAGTTCGACCCCCTGCCCTGGAGGTGATCCACATGGCACAGCAGACCACTCCTGACCCGCCTGCTGCTCCCCTCTGCAGTGTACTTCATCATTAGCCTGTTGTGCTCCCCACCTTCTCTGGTGAAGCCTCTCAACTGCCCCTGCACCTCTGGCCTGTACCCCAGCTCAATATGCATAAATAAATCTTAAAAAATATATATATATAGTGTTTCGGCCCTCCCTGGTGGCGCAGTGAATTAAAGCACAGCACTAAGAAGCTAAAGCCACTTCAGCATGATTTCAATCCCGGCCTGCCCCGGAGGAGATCCACATGGCGCGGCAGAACTCTCCTGACCCGCCCGCTGCTCCCCTCAGCAGTGTACTTTGTCAGTTGGCCTGTTCTGCTCCCCACTGTCTCTGGTTAGTCCTTTCACCACCTCTGCACCTCTGGCTTGTACCCCAGTTCTATATGCACAAATAAATAAATCTTAAAAAAAAAAAGTGTTTCTAACACACCAGAAGGTTCCCTCTGGTCCCTTCCCAATCATCTCACACCCGAAACCAGAGTTGACCCCTATTCTTGTATCAGAAGTTTTGCCTGTTCTTTTATTATTATTATTTTACTCTATTTTTAAATGTATTTATTACATCATCTTCAAGTTTGTGCAATGTATGATTTCCCCATGAAATTCCCACCAATTCACCTGTGCACCATCACCTTAGTCCCTTGCGCTTTTCCCACTCTTGTCTTCATTCTCCTCCTCCCTATAGAATGTCTCTGATCTGTAGTTGCCTGATGATTTTGATATTTACTTTATTATAGTTAATTTTTTTCCTGATCCTTTACTTGGTTCCTCTACATTCCTCCTGTAAGTGAGACCATTCAATATTTTTCCTTTTCTTTCTGGTTTAATTCATTGAGCATAATCCCTTCCAGCTCCATTCATATTGCTGTGAATGGCATGAGTTTATCCTTTATGATTACTGAATAATATGCCATTGTGTGTATAGACCACATCTTCTTGATCCTGCCACCTATTAGGGAGCATCTGGATTGCTTCCACAGCTTACCTATTGTAAATTATGCTGCAATAAGCATAGCAGTGTAGGTGTCTTTTTGAATTAATTTTTTTGTGTCCTTTGCATAGTTTCCTAGGAGTGGAATTGCCAGTGACTCCATTTTTAGTAGTTTAAAGAGCCTCCACACAGCTCTCCATAGTGCTTGGACCAGTTTGCTTTCCCACCAGCAGTGCAGGAGAGTTCCATTTTCTCCACATCCTCGCCGAAATTCGTTGTTGCTAGATTTTTTAATATGTGCCACTCTCACTGGTGTAAGGTGGTATCCCATTGTGGTTTTGATTTGCACTTTCCTGATAAAGAGTGATGTTGAACATTTTTTCATATGCCTCTTGGCCGCTTGCATTTCTTATTTGGAGAAGTATCTTTTTAGCTCTTCTGCCCATTTTTTGACTGGATTGTTTTGTTGAGCCTTGTTAGCTCTTTGTAGATCTTTGTGGTCAGTCCCTTATCATTATTATTGTGTACAAAACTTTTCTCCCAATCAATGGGGGTGTCTATTTTACTTTTGCCTGTTCTTGAACTTATATGTGCGTGGCCTCATTTGTTTAAATTTTGTGCCAGATTTATCCATGTTGTCATATGCATTGGCAGCTCATTCTATTTTATTGCTGTTTCTATAATTTACTTATATGAGTAAAAACATTTTTAATCCATTCCAATGTCATTATACAGTTTGGAATGATTATGAATAAAGCTGCTATGAATATTCTTAAAACAGTATTTGTTGGTGGCCATTTCTTCTAGGTGCAAATACCTACCAGTGGTGGTTTTGGGTCAAAGGGCAGCTGAATGCTTCTCTTCAGTAGATTACTTTCCAAAGTGGTTGTATCCATTTTACTGCATTTTCATTAGTTTTTGAACATATCACAAAGAAGCTTCTCCATTGGCGTATTCCCTATGGTCTTTCGAAAAAAGAGGTGCTCAATACGCTCAGAAGTGATGAACCTCAAAGACGGGAGGAGCAGGAGCAGTTTCCCAAACCTGAACAGAAGATAGACACTATTAGTCTTATGCTACGCTCCTGCACTGGGCACAGTGCCCTCCCAGGAAAGGCAGGAAAGGAAGAGGAGAGATGAGAGACACCCAGAGCCGAGTAAGAAGGAATTTCCAGAAACGGCCCCATTCGCTATGATGGTTGCTGCCACCTACACCGACCTCCTGTGTCCACCCCCACTGTAGGAGTGTATTTAAAACCGTGAATAAGTAGTGTTTATGTAAAGATGATAAAGTGACTAGTGGTTTATAGAAGTAACATATCTATGTTCATTGTGTATAGTTATTCATACTATATAAATTTGAATGAGAATATAAATTCTAGGATGGTAGAGTAGCCATCCTGAATTGAATCATAATTTTTGTAACAGATACCCATCCAGAAAAAAAAAAAAAAGGAACCAGTTTTAAATGAGAACCACTTGCTAAGGCAGAGATCCCTGGTACAGAGAAGGTGGATGTTGTAGCCCCAAATGACCAGTGGGTTGGGGGGGAACCTTCATTACGTCAGGAGATCTGACACCCCATGTTCCAGAGGCCCCTGAAAAGTGGGGCAGCTCCCTGCTGTGCCTCCACCATGGAGGTTTGTGGGAGGCCTTTCTACTCCATCCTGCTATCTGTTGACCTGTTTTGTCCAACTAAGGATTTCTTTCTCTTGTGAGGGTCAAGAGAATGGCACTGAGCAGAACTCCCCCTCCACTCCTATCTTCTGCTGCTTTACTAATCTTAGGAGTGTCAGGAAGTGGCAGCCATAAAATCAATTAGAAAACTTGCTTTTCAAAATGCAGGATTTGAACCAGTAGTGGGTCTGAAATTAAATTTAGTGGGTTACAACCCAACTTTAAAAAATAGAATTAGGGCTCTGCTGGTGGTGCAGGAGACTAAGTCTCAGCACTCTCAAGCTATCCACAGCCACTACAGCCCGAGTTCAATGCCCATCCAGGGAACTGACCCACATGGAACGCAGACCTTTCCTATCTCTCCCACTGCTCCCCTCAGCAGTGTATCTCAATAGATCTGTCTGCTCTGCTTCACATTCTGTCACTAGTGAATCCTCTCACCTCTACCCCCTGCATCTCTGGCTTGTATGCCTATAAGAACAATCCAGTTCTTGTATGCATAAATAACTAAATCTTTTTTTAAAAAATAGAACTAC